CCCTCCTCCCTGGTAAAAATAATTTATTCGAACCCAACAATAGAAATAGAGACTCTCACAAATGGAATTATTCATAAGTTTGACTTACGATTATGGCTCCGTATGCTCGCATGCGCAATTGATAATGAGCAATCACTGTGTGGATATTTAAGGGGATACTGTGATCAATCTACAAATCAAACAGTCAAATTTATATTTTCTAAACTTAACTACCTTGCTGTTAAACTGTATATTTTCACTTTTTATACCAACTAATTTTCTTTTCATAATTAAAATTAATAATTCGTACAAATATTTATAGAATCAAGACAGATTTTTTTCTAGGAAGCGTCGGCAAATCGTTGCATGTTTTGTGGAAAATATTTAAAATTCAGGAAGAGATTTTTTTGCATTAGTTCTAGTTTTCTAAAGTTTACGGTCGTACCGGACTCCTCCAATGATCAATATACTGTTGTAATCGACCGGCTCATTAATCTTTGAATTAATTAATCTTTTTATGTAAGGTTTTGGTTGAAATGAAAAAGCTAGTACCACGAGTGGGATTCGAACCCACGACCTTCTACTAAACACATCGCCGCTGTACCACTTGAGCTATCGTGACTTCGTTCCTCTCGGCCGCCAGCTTGAAAAACGGCAAAATTCGAAAGGTTGTAGGTTAAGATGGGGTGTTAGTGTCCGAGTGGATCGAAGTCACGATGATTCAAGTTGTCGAGCGTATTTAGCCGATGATCGTGGGTTCGAATCCCGCTCGTAGCACTACCTTTTTCATTTCAACCAATACATTATATAAAAAGATTAATTAATTGAAAGAAGTAATTTGGTCAATAGACCAGTAAATATAATTGAGTTAATCTTTGACTTTACTTCCCGAAATAATCTTCCCATTACTGAGTCACTTTGGAAACGATAGTAAGTGTTCCGAAGATTCCTGCTCGCCACATTCACACCATTCTTCCTCATCCAAATTAATTTTCTTTACATACGCTTTAAATATTCCGTGGTTAGATTTTAAGCTATTGGCTATCCTGCATGTTTTTTTATTGTTTTTACTGTTTGCAAACCATGCTTGCAACGATACTTTGGGGAATATCCCTTTATAAACCAAACTCTTTTCTAGTTCCTCATACCCACGTTACCAGCCCTCCGCATTCCGTTTTTTACAACAAATCATAATCTGGGCGCCTAACGTCTAACCTTCATCCCCTTGATATAGCCTACTTCGCAAGCATGTCCACCTTTTCGTTAACTAGGCTCTTACACCGGAATCCATACAACTTCCACTCTCATACAATTATGTTGAACATTTTTTTTTACAGTGCTTTAATTTCTCAAATTGTGGTTGATGACGTTGCTGCTGTTGTGTGTTATTAAAGCAACCAATCCACTTCCATTATCTGGCAAAATAATCCAAACCTGGTTTGACTCTGTAGAGTCTAGTAGGTATCTTATCGCTTCTCTTAAGACGACAAATTCGCCTCGAAAATAAAAATAGATACACAAACAGACAAATAAATAAGTTGTAACAATTTTTAAGCAAACTGATGTTATGATGAACTATCCAGAAAAAAAATCATTCACGAAAAAACAGACGCACGTGCAGTTTGTTCTGTCGGAAAAAGATAGTGAAGGGATCGTTAGTTTTACGGGTGGCCGGAATACCCAGTGAGGCATCATCGCCCTCGAGGTGGCAAAGTGGAAATTAAAAAAATAAAACAGCGAGACGTCGCATTGCCTGAGTACCTCGGACATGTTTAGCATAACGATTTGCCATCTACCAGCTCTCGGCAAATTTCTTGTTGTTCTTCCTTATACCAATTAATCCTTTGAAAAGGATAAATTCTCTCTGAAAATTTCAGCGTAATTAAACTCTTTCTTCTCGAGTTAATTTCGGCCATAAGAAATCAATTGTTGCCTTTAACAAACGTCAATAATAAAATTACGCAAGTTTCACAATGGAAAATCTACTACGTTGGTTGCCCTGAGCTTATCTTGACACTATCCTAATACGCCAATTAGCCACAGCTAAAAGCAAGTCATTTGTTAAATCACCCTTGCAATATATATCCAATCCGATATATCCACAACTGTCTTGATTCATTTAAACCTAGGTTATTCATTAACAGTTTTTCCTTGAAGATAGTAGGGGTATTCACGATCTTTGTGTTAACCATGTTAACTCTGTTAGGTCGTGTTAGATCGACGTAGACTTGTAAGAATCGACTATCTAACATTACTTGATCTAACAAGCCAGGGCCAATGTTAGATGTTAGGTCGAAAATGTAGTCACATTGCTATCCGTTAGGGCATAGGTAACCAACATGGCAACCATGAATTTAACAGTTGTTTTGTGCTTGCACGTATTTTTATTATTAAATACGCATTAATTAAATCAGACCAATCCATTTGTTTTGGTTAATTGCTGACCTTTCCTTATACTCCACATTCATAATAGATACATCCCCTATCCTAAACGTTGTAGGCGGTTAGACGTCAGGATACAAGTTAGGTAGGTCGGCACAAATTGAAGCGTGTCATTTGTTAGTACTTTTCGAGTGCATAGATATCATTTTGAATGAAAAAGTTGATTAATTTTCCTTTTTTATTAACTTATGGCATTTTACAATTTAACACAAAACAAAACTAAATCAAACAACAAGCCTTCAAAGACTGTTATAGCTTTATATTTGGTTCCACCAATCGCCATGCGCAGCATTGCGGAAAAATTAACATTTAACATGCTAAGAAAAGAAAAAGTTTCTATTCAAGTTAACAACTTACAAACATGGTGAATACCCCTAATGTGTAATAAAATCGTGTAATATCGAGAAAACAAGTTTAGCAACTATTGCTATCAATCAACTGCTCTATATTAAGATACAAATGTTTAGATAGTAAAAATATTTATGTTTCTCTGTTCGATCCTATTAAAATGCTTTGGATTCGACGATCGACGTTAAACCGTCCGATGTTAAAGATGACCAAATATGTTCGATATTATAGCAACATTGATAGTTTTTAATTTAATAGTAGAATTATTTTAAGCATTACACATAATAAATGTATGTGTTGAGTACATTTTACATGTAACCGTTTTCCGTAATCTCTGTCGCAGTCTTACCTCATGTTCTTTATTGTTAATCACGAGGTACTGTCTTTAACGTGAAATGGGCATTGGAAACAAATTTAAGAAACTTCAAAGTTACGCGATTTTTGCTTAACCATTTCATATAATTTTTAGTTTCGCGTTTATAAAATCCGCAATGACAGTTTGCATGGACGTCGGGAAGTGACGAACCAGTGAGCTGTTTACAAAATAAAAATCACTTAAGCTTGAAAATATTCGATAGCTTTAAGTTACCGTTAGAATGTTCATTTAAAGACAAGGATTCCACATTAAATAACATCTGAAGGGCATAGAAATGTTCATTATGACAAGACCGTTAGGCCCACGCGTCAGCTCGTAAACGCTTTTCTCCTGGACTCTTCGAGATCCTTTAGCGGGGAAATTTGTCCATTTAGAGTCATGTCTACTTAGTCCGAACTTTTTTCTTCGAAAGCTCCGTTCAACAGAATCCACCCGAAACCCTTTAGAGATAGGCAAATGGCAAGCGCTGACGAAACGTCCGAGCCGGTGAAAGTACGCCCCGGACTCGGATCAGAGCTCTTTTCTCGAAGGGCAACAAAATACGACGCCAATTAATGTGGCACCTTACGCAGACAATGGACCGATTTTCTTTTTAAATTTATTTATTTCCTATCCTGCCGCATACATCACGCACGGCGACGCCCGAAAAACCGAGGCCCGTCGCCGGCACTACGTCCTATCGGCACGCTACCGATTTATGGCGTCGTTAAAAAGGCGAAAATCTCACGCCTCTTTTGAGACAAAGATAAAACAAAAAGGACGACTGTTTTTTCCTCGTTTAAATACTTTTTTTATTTGCCTTTCATACATAAATCGGGAGTGCCACGACAGATATCTGTAGGAAGTTCAGATAAGATCAAACTAGCCGGTCTTTATTTCGACTTAATAAATACATCATTGGCTTCTAACTTACAGATAAAACAGAAGGGACTTGATATTTTTCATGGTATCAAAATAATCTTTGCTAGATCTTAAGAGCACTGGTTTATTTTATTTATTGTCATTTCATTCATTGATATTTATTCAGCGATGTCCTGCTAATTTTTTAAATATTTTGTTTTAAAAGCATCATATGTCCATTAAATTTTTCTACGGTCAAATGCAATTAGTTGATATTTGTACGTATTTTTAACTATAATTAAATCAAGTTGGTAAATACCCTGTATAAATATTTAGATAGTGAGATTTTATCGTCTGTAAGTTGAACATTTATTCCCTGTCGATGCATCGCCCAATTTAATTTTTTATTCCACTGTAAAAATATCTTTCTGCAGAATACATTATTATACAAATAGTAGTACGTCTTGGTGTTAAAACATTCGAGAGAATATTTTATGTGGTGTGTCTTCCTCTTTTTCTGTCTGGGGCAACTTTTTCTCTGTCGTTTTATGTAATCTTACGTATTTTTATATACGTTTGAAAGTCTCAAGCTCCTTATTACATTTAAGGACCTAGAAAACTTAAATATAAAGATTTTGTTGAAATATGCGCGGCGATAAACATGTGCCCGATCATCCTGGTCCGCTTGTTCTCGTCGGTTTTGATCTGCCAGACACGTTTCCACCGAAGAACTAGTGGTTGTTCCGTATATTTTCTCTTACCTAAGTCTTTTTTTTGCCAGAGGCTACCGAGTAATGTCAAAGTCAAGTTAATAATATTTGTTAATAGGCTCTCATGGATAAAATTAAATATAAAAGTCAAAATTTTCAACCTTTTTTTTAGTAATAATTTATTGCTGAGGGTTCAGAGAAATAATTATTTTTAATTTTTTGACATGTGGAGACCTTGTTTGAAAAATAAAATTTCACTAGTATCAATTTTATTTGCCTGTTTTTACATGATAAATGTTACCAACCTTTTTCGTAGTTCTACGTGCTTTCTTGTTAGGAAGGTTGAATTTGATCGAGTCTGGAGGTTATTCGATTTCAGCCGGTTAGTTCTCCGAAGTCTATAAACATTAAATAAAAAACATTATTTATTTATTATTGTAAAAAGATAACTTTTTTGTTAAAATGTATGAAAAGACGATAGAAAATAGCTCATGAGGTTGATGAACGTTATCAACGTATTTTCCGAAGATGTTATCTCCTCAACTTTAGGATAATTGCAAAGGGGCAAGTTAGGCAGGCGATAACAAAAGTTCCAACAGCTGCTTTTAAATTGGATTTGAGTTGTTTGGACAGAGTTTTAATGCAATCCAATTAGGAGTAGTAGCAGATTTTCGGTAGCTCGTCAAAGGGATCGGGATTGTCAACGGGCCGAGGACCGGTTTCCGTCCGTGCTGATATATGCCTCATGTTACGCGGGGAGTTGCGTTGAAAAGACGCTATGGATCAGTTTGCACCGGGGCGTAAATAAAGCCGAATCCTTTCCTTTGCTATCACCGCTTCCTGGGCCCGGTTTAATTAAGTCAATTTGACATAATTCGAATTTAGGACCGACAAGTTGCCCCTCGGTTTATCTACGGTCAGAATTTTTAATGACAATACAAGCGTAAAAAGCCTAGTGTAATTATTCTATTTACGGCGTTCAAAATTTGACATCGTTGATCTCATGGCAATGAAGAGGATGAGATACTAAAATCCATTTACTGGAAAATTAAACCCTCCAGCTACACAGGACATTTAACATACAAAACCTGCTCAACAACCCGAGGAATTTCTCAATTTATTAATTATGCAATCGATTATAACGTAAAAACGAAAATAAATGCATTGGACAACAATATCAATGAGTACCCCCCCATTAGGTAAATCTACACATGTAAAATCTTCCTTTTGATTATTTCCTGATTGTCTAAGTAGGGTGAATATTTTTTCTTTGAAGTTTTCCCGGATTATAATGAAAATATATGTGACAATATATTAAAAATCAAGTTTGTAATCGGTACAGTTTTAATCCCCCTATTAGAAATTCAAATTCTCCTCGGATCGAGAATAAATCCTCCTTTCGATTACACGGCTATCGAGCTTTTCACTGAACAAAACTTCCATCGGAATTGATTGTTTCTGTTTAATATTTTAAAAATTAAACGGACCAGTTTATAGCCATTAGGATGAAAATTCCCAATATAACGATATAAGGAATATTGGCAAAAACAAAACGGGCAAGACTGACGTGATACAGACCAAGTACTGAAGATAGCGTCAAAAAATTCTTAATAGAAAAAAACCCTACCGAGGATCTACTGACTAGGACGGTTGAAAGGCGATCGAGCTAAAAAGTAGTTTGGTAGTTTCCGATCATTTTGGTCTGTTCCTAGCGGCTTTTCGCCATCTTTCGGTGTTCAATCTGCGTGTATTTTCTCAGAGTTATCGCTGAAGATGGCGAAAAGCCCCCGACAGGTCAAAACAGCGAGGATAGGCAGATCAAAATTATAGGAAACGAAAGGACTAGAATTACTGGTTCATCACTCGTACGACTCCAAAAGAAATTTCGAGAGATAAAAAGTAGATGATTTTTTAATTACATTTATCTGAAAAATGACGATTAAAGCTGGTAATTATTCTTATAATGTATTGAATTTCTTTGAAACTTGTCTTGGTAGCATAAAGCCTGAACCGAAATGTTTGATGTGTAAGGTACAGCTGTCGAATGTTTGATTTTTCGTAAATTCCCTATCTATTGTAACAATTTAAGATATCATATCATCAGCTTCTGCCTAGAATGGATTTAAACTGAATAATAGATCCTTCAAACGATTGCAATATGGGCATGTGGTGCCCATTGGATATCCTTACGCATATATTCCTCCCGTCCTTTTCACGAGCGGATAAAAACAAACGCGTGGACGTGTGGGGAATAAAATAAATGAAGTTGAAGAGAGAATGGACGTCCCGCCGTGGAGGATGTCATTGGTCAACTTCGTGCGCTCCTGGAAAAACTCGCCCGGGAGGAATGCGCGAAGTTTTTTTACAAAGTCCCTCGGGACGGCTCGGATTTGCCGTCCTTCGTCGGAAAGACGCCATGCCGAAAAAAAGTCTAAACGGTGTTTTAATTGACGGATTTCACCTGTTTCGTTTAAAATCGACCGGCATGTGTTTTGTACCTGTTCCCATTGAATTTGTAATGGGACAGGATGTTTTTGACCGTAATGGCCTTAATGGCGAATTTCGAAGACTCGTCAGACGATAACGTAAGATAAATTTAAAATCAAGTTGGCACGTAAGAAAAGCTTATGTGAAATACATGTAAGCATTGAAGTCCACAAACGTAAAACATCGTAACTGGCTTTCAACCTGTAAATGTCTTCTAAGTACAATGTCTAACACCCAACGTTCATTTATTTTGAACAATAACTTTTGTTTTGTCGCAAGATATCTTGCTTTATTATTCTATTTTAGTGTATTATAATATTACATTTAATTAAACCTCGTCCACTTATAAAACTTTACACGAAATAATCTTTGGGAACAGTACACGGCAGAAACGCCCTTCTGCGGGGCTACTGGAGGGAGGAAAAAGTTAACTTGCTTGTCTTGGGTATGGTTTTGCCGAATCTATTTGTTATTTAGTTACATTTCACCAACGTTGTATCTATGATATTCAAAGAATTTTTATTGCTCATTTAGATTAATTGTTAGTTCAACTTGAAAAAAGAAACTTCTCTCTAAAACTCTAAAAATCTCTAACCAATTGTAAAAATTGTATGCGTTTTTCCTTTAGCGTGTATTTAATGAGATGGATACTTTCATTTACTCTATTGATAGGTTAAGAAATTCCAAGTTCTTCGTGGTTGATAACCTTTATTTAATTTAGTAAATTACATGCGTTTCGGGCTCCTGATCCATCATCAGACTAAACATAGAGAAATCTCATGGTATAATTCCCAATCTGAAGGCACACCCATCAGTAATTTCTATTTTTTTTTTTTTTTTTTTTTATTTATTTTTTTATAATAAAAGTATTTATTTCGCATTTTCGCATAGTCCAGGCATAAATACTTTTATTTTAAAAAAATAAATAAAAAAATAGAAATTACTGATGGGTGAGCCTTCAGATTGGGAATTATACCATGAGATTTCTGTAGGTTTAGTTCCTGATGATGGGCCAGGAGCCCGAAACGTCCATATAATTTACTAAATTGAATAAAGGTTTTCAACCAAGGGGAATTTGGAATTTTTCAACCTATCAATGGAGAAGATATGTACCGTGGAGTTGGTAATTTATAAAATAAGATGAATTAAAATATTATGAACAAGTACAAAAGTAATAATCAAAAAAAAGAAGACAATAGGCCGAGGCCGTCTATCTAATGAGAATTTCACATATTAGGGATGTTCACCACCGTTGTGTTAACTCTGTTACGACGTGTTAGATCGAGAAAAAAGTCTGTTGGAATCGGCTACTTAACATTGTTCGATCTAGAGAATCTGGCCCTGCGTTCGCTGTTAAGTGGAATCGAATATCAATGTAGTCACACACTGTTAGGACTTAGGTAACAAACATGACCTCCAAGAATAGAACGGCTGGTTGTTTGCTTTGTGTATTTTTATAATTATTTTAATTTAGTTTTTATTATTTATCAATTAATTAAGGTTTTTAGTTAAGATAAAAAAGTCAGTGTCACGTGCTGGATTCGAACCCACGACCCTCTGCTCCGAGTGGATTGAAGTCACGATAGCTCAAGTGGTAGAGTAGCGGCGTATAGCCGAAGGTCGTGGGTTCGAATCCCGCTCGTGACACTGACTTTTTTATCTCAACTAAAAACCTAAAGTAGTAAATTTATTTGTTAAATACGCTTTAATTGAATGAGACATTTCTATTGTTATTTTCTGACCAATTTTCATACCATCATTCATAGTCGAGGCAGGGGATCTTCATCACCTAAATATCACGAAAGAATATTCTTCGTTTTCTTATCTGGTCAATTCGGATTTGTCTTTGCTTAAGCAGACCAGGGGCTTAATTTGTCTTCTAATCATTCAATGAGCACTTCTCCCGTTTCATTGTACATTTTTTCACACAAATCAAAGTTTGCATTTTGAGAATTGATTATTCTTTCGACTGAATTGTGGCATTTTGAAAAAAAATTCTCTTTATTCTTTTAAAAAATTCTCTTCTATTAAAAAATTCTTTAACGAAAATTGCCAATAATACAATAAATGGGAATATCTTTTTTTCTCATTTCTTCTATTTTCATGTTGAGAATGTCAAAAAATAGCTTTAATCTACTTTCCCTCAAAGAATAATCTTTTTTAAAAACTGGGAATTGTAATAAAATTGGCAATTTAACAATAAATAAAATAAAATAAAAATATTCTTCTATTTTTTTCCAAGAATGAATTTGTTTCGATTCTATGAGATTGTTGAAAAATTGGTTTAAACCTGAGTTTTTACAGATATACTCCATTACAAAAAAATCCAAAAATTGATGCCAATTGATTCTACTTCTTTTACAAAATAGTTAAAAGTTAGCTTCCAAAGTGAGCTTTTTGATTAAATTCTTTTACTTTGAAAATTGCCAAAAATAATTGTAGATATTGTTTTCTTAAATTTTAATTTAAGATGTCGGTGGCCCCAACGGTTTAGGCGACATGGAGCTCATCACTGTAAGGTAAAGGTCCCGGGTTCGAATCCAGCGGCACTGCATTCGAAGCCGACATATTTACAAATGGGCTTTTTTTCAAAATCACCGGCACCCTGAGAAAATATATATATATATATATATGATCAAGATAGATTTGAAGATATTTTGATTGGGTTTCCAAAGCGGGGTCGAGAGGAAAAAACGGGAGCTAACGACACGAAGGTATGAATGAACGAAAGGGAAAAAAGGGAAACATCTATTCCGTTTAATTGCCTACGAGCTATCCTGACGATATGAAACCTGGAACTGGAATAAGCGTTTTTGTTCAAATTTATTCGTTTAATGACAATCTCTTTGGATGTGTTGCACAAATTACCGAGCTATAACCGCGATTGATTGTTCTTGTTTTAAACGACCCC